GCTGCACTGCGGGAGCGGGGGAGGGGGGAGGCAGGCTGGCGGTGCGGGTGGCGGGAGCACGGAGAACACAGCCGGAGGACTCAGGAGGAGCACCGGGCGGCCATGCAGCCGGCCTGAGAGAAGCGGTGCTTTGAAGGGGAAACCACCACTTCTCTGCAGCTGCCCCTGCTCCTCCTGAGTCCTCTGCCCATGTTCACAGGGCCACATTCCGAAAGGGGCCTGGGGGGAGGGTTCCAGGGGAGTAGTTAGGGGCAGGGGCCGTCAGGGGACAGGGAAGGGGGGTTCGATGGGGTTGGGTCCCGGGGGGTGGTTAGGGGACAGGGAGGGTTGGATGGGTCAGGGGTTCTGAGGGGAGCAGTCGGGGGGGGGGAGTGGGAGGGGTAGGATAGGGCGCAGGGGGGCAGGCTGTTTGGGAGGCACAGCCTTCCCTAACCGGCCCTCCATACTGTTTTGCAACCCCGATGTGGCCCTCGGGCCAAAAAGTTTGCCCACCTCTGCTCTACATAGTAGAATGCAGTTGCATAAATAGAGAAACAAAAATAATTAAGTAAAGGCAAAGCTGGGATTCTAACGGATTTGGGGAGATAGAAGAAGGCTACTCCAGATGGCAGAAGCTACAGCAAAGAAGAATTTTGCATCTACAAAAGTGAAACTGTTTGAAATGACCGGGAGATGAAGGTCGCATATGAACACTAGTGGGGAGAGAACCTGAGTCCATTAGATAAGCCTGGGAAAGTGCACAGAAAGTTTGGAAGACAATAGGGAAAGTTTTATAAGTGAAATTGATCAGGAGCGCTTTGTGGCTCATTTATTTATTTAGCATGTGCATAGTCGTCTAGCCAAGCGATGGTCTCTTCAGCGGCGTGATGCAGTTCTTCTAGGCCACCGCTGAACCTAGTCAGCAGGCATTCATCGACAACACACGTCACGGTCTGTGTTGCACCGCAGTTGCGCAAAGGGATGTCACGAAGGCCCCAGCGATACCGGATGACTGCAGAGACACCTTGCCTGGTCCGAAAACTGATCAAAAGGGACCATTGGCAACGGGGCAGGTCAAAACCAAGTGGGCAAATTGTGGGGTTGGTGACGAGGGACTGGTTGGGAATTATAACAGATTCCATTCCTCTCGCCAGAGTGTTTCCGCCCTAACATCCTGGTGTGGCGGATGAGACCATAACGGGCGACGTGACGGCAAATGTGCAGCTGGTGGTTTAAAAAGGTCATTGTGCAGCAGCAGACTTGAGTTGGCACGTACTTTCTCCAGTAACTTTCCAGTGGCAACTTCTCGTCTGATACGAGGAGGAGCAATATTGCTCAGAACTGGAAGCCATCGGCGTGGAGTCGGATGCAGGGTGCCGGAGAGGATACTCATGGCAGCACGTAACTGCGTATCTGCCAGTCTGGTGTGTGACGATCGACTCCAAACTGGTGCGCAGTATTCTGCCACCGAATACGAGGTGGCAAGAGCTGTTGTCCGCAAAGTTGAGCATGAGCACCCCATGACGAACCTGCCAGTTTGCTAAGAGTGTTGCACATCTTAACTTTAGCTGCTGTCTTCTTCGGGTGGGCATGGTAACTCAGTGTGCGGTCTAAGGTCACGCCTAGATAGATCAGTTTTATTTCATGCTTCGCCTTCTGACCATTCAGTTCTTGTGTTGCACTGGCGTGATGAAGATGGAACAAACTGGAGACTGTTTTTATGACGCTTGGCTGGAGGCACCAAGTCTTACAGTAGTCAGCTAACTTTATCTTGTCCCAGTTTAAGGTGGCATCAAGCTCATGAAACGTCTGGGCCTGGGTACCGCCACAGATGTCATCTGCATAAATGAACTTTCGTGACTCCATTGTTGGCAGGTCACTGATGTAAAGGTTGAACAGGGTTGGAGAAAGCACAGAGCCCTGGGGTAACCCATTGCTCTATCGTCTCCAAGCACCCGTCTTCTCCCTCATGTGGACTCTGAACTGACTATTGCAGAGGAACAGTTCAACGATACCTGTGACCCAAGGTAGCAGGACCTGTGATACCTTCACGCGTAGGCCAGTGTACCGTACCGTATGCCACTGCTAGAGCGATGAAAACAGCACCTGTTTTCAAGTTTCTCTGGAAGCCATTTTCAACAAATGTAGAGTAAAGTAATCAAGTTTTTCTGGAATGTTGTCAGAACGAGGCAGCAGAACTGCACACATGGTGAAGTTGGGATTTTTGGGAGGGCAGAAGAGAGCTAGGAAGAATCTTCTGGCAGAAGTGGAGCTGAGAAAGCAGCAAACATATAGTTTAACTCAGCTTTGCAGTATTGTCATGAAGACCCACCAGTCCAGGCATCAAATCTACTTACCTGTCCTTAATTTTGGTGATAACAGAAAAAACCTAGATATGCTTGTTCAGCAAGACACCACACACAATCTCTAACAGGGTAAGTGAAATTCTGCAAGATTTCTCTAAAAACATCTCTGCTGCATAATCACAATATTACTCAACAGAGCTATTAAAAGGTGTCCTACGGCTTAATAAGCTATTGTCATGGAGGATACCTGAAGCAGAATCCCACTCTGGGTATCATCCTCCATCAGCTAGTGGCTATTTGGTGACCATTGTCATGTGGGAGCCCTAGAGCTGTAAGAAGTGGGAGAAGACGACATTTACAGCTTATTAATGAGCTTCAGAGGTGGTGGAGACTGAAAGGACTGTAGCTGTAACAGCAGTGTTGCACGAGCAGTAAAACCAGGAGATTTAAGGAGTTTGGTCAGATGCACAGAATCATTAAAAAAAAAGTGAGAACATCTCTTAAGGGAGTTTCATAGATAAACAATGTGAAGTGCTTGCTCTCCTCACCTGTCCTTCCATCACTCCTAACAATACTGGCTCCATCCACTGTACAGGCTCAATGAAATAAGAGGTACATTTAACTCGACTGTCATTACGAAGCTGAGCAGGATCTGTAATCCTCTTGTGAGCAAACGCTGATGGTCCACTTCCTTCAGCATGGGCTAAAATGCTCGAACTACGAAAGAGGGAACGTCTATTCTTCAGAACAAAAGAGAGAAAGAAAGGCTGAAGATAACTGGACAACAGTGAAGTACAAGGCAATAGTAGCAGCAGCAAATGGATGGGGTTATACAGTGTAGATTTTCTTTTTTCATTTGAAGAGGTCAATGAAGGCTGTCCCTTTTTAGACTGCCTCCCGACCTCAGCAAATCCTATCATGCCTGCAGCCCTGGGCCTCTTTCCCACAGTTACACTTTGTTTCTTATGTAGTTACACCTCTACTCTGATATAATGCGGTCCTTGGGAGACAAAAAAAAATCTCACCGCGTTATAGGTGAGACCACGTTATATCGAACTTGCTTTGCCCCCCCCCATTCCCTGACCGCCCCCTCCAGAGACCCCTGTCTCTAATCACCCCCAGGACCCCACCCCCTACTCAACCCCCCTGCTCCCTGTCCCCTGACTGCTCCAACCCCTATCCACACCTCCTGCCCCCTGACAGGCACTCACCAGCAGCAGAGCAACGTGGCCCCAGCCCGCTCCACTCCACTCCACCACCTCCCAGCCGCATCGCTCTGCTTCCCACCGCCAGTGAGTGCGGGGAGGTTGGGGAAAGAACGCCCCCTGCACTCACCGGCAGCGGGAAGCGGACCGACGTGGTCCCAGCCCGCTCCACTTTCCTTGCCCCAGTCCCAGCCCCATTGCTGGGGTGGGGGGGGCGGGGGAGAGGGGTGTTGGGGAAAGGTCCCGCACTCACCTGCGGCAGGAAGCGGAACGCCACGGCTGGGAGCTAGCGGAGTGGAGCGGGCTGGGGCCAGGTTGCTCCGCTTCCGCCGCTGCCGGTGAGGATCCCTTCCCCCAAGCTCCCTTCCCCCAAGCAACACAGCTGGGGCTGGGGCGAGGGAAGTGGAGCAGGCTACTCCCGGTCCCCTGCTAATCCCCCAGGCCACTCTGGGACTGCGGGGCCCCCAAAATTGCCCCCCCCCACCACACACAGCTCCTGCCTCCCTAGACCCACCACCTGTGGGGGGGGGGGGAGCCCCTGACCGCCCCCGAGACCCTCTGCCCCGGCCCTGCACCCTTAACACGCTGCTCAGAGCAGCATGTCAGAGCTTTACCGTGTTGTATGCGAACCCATGTTATATCAGGTCATGTTATATCGGGGTAGAAGTGTACTTTTAGCAAACTCCTAGCTAATGAAACATGAGATCATCTAGGTACATGTGTCTGGGAACTGTACAGCTAGAAAATAGGAATCTCTCTTATTTCCAATGATTAAGAAAAAGAGGCCGAAACAAGACCAGACAACTGACCTACGGAGTAAAGAGGCTTCTTCGGGAGGAGAAGGGGGGGGGGGTGTCAGATTTTGAACAGTTTCAATTTAGTAAACTCAGTTTTAATTTTGATGTAAGCAGAAGCAACTTAAGTGAAGTTGCACCTACTTACAGAAGATGTACACTTAGCCCCAGAGGTTCAAAAGGACTTCAGAGCCTGAGAGGCATTTTATTCTTCATGATCACAAAACAAAGATTAGGCAAAGGAAAGTATCATGCGTACTTTTGATTCAAAGTTTTTCAAAGATTTATTCCTGTTCTGAAAGAGACAAACCCAATAAGCTACAAAGGCTATTTTCCTTACAACAGTTTATTTCAAAATAACACTTTGTGAGAAATGAAAGGGTCCATACCGGCATTTTCTACACCTGTAGAGAACCTCACTGTTCAGAGTTTGACAAACGCTGGTTGGGTCAACTGCAAAGACTTCTCGTGGCAAGTCTTGCAGCTCTGCAGAGAGTGAATGATACAAATCTGTGAACTGGACTCAAACTTAATGACCTATTTATAATTAAAGCACTATGCCTTTGCCCCAGTCTTCACACTTCCTACCTTCCCCTTCCCTAGGAAGTTCCTAAGAGATGAGCCTCACCACTTAGTGCCTAAAAAGGGGAGTTGCACTGCGCTAATTACAAGAAGCTTTGTAGCTACAGATAGCATGTCTTGATCTTGTCCTGATGTACAGATGGCTCTCAGTGTACAAAACTTTATACACACAACATGCAGAGTTTTCAGACCATCGAGGTTTTTACATGCACAAATCACCATATTTGAGCACTAGCTGCTCTCAATTGCACTAGTATAAATCACTAGATTTGCCAAACCAAGCTAGATTAGAGCTAGCAGTGTGTAACTGAAAGGCTGATTCAGATAGTGCTAATATTTCAGTCCTGGAACTGGTATCTACCCTAGAAGAAATATAATATACCATCCTTCTGCAAGTTCAATAACTCTTAGCTACAATGGCTCTAGCTCCCCTGAATACACAGCACCTCAGACATTATCTTCACTCACCAGGATATTTCTCTGTAACTTTTTGCAAGCGATACTGTTTGTAAATGGTACTGCTCACATCAACTTTACAGCCCATTGTTTCATAGAGTTTCAGCTGCCACTCAAAACCTTCGTTCATTCTGGAACAATAGTGAAAATCAGAGGCACATTTCCTAGGCTATGGCGAACGTACACATTAGTCCACACAGGGACAGAAAGGAATCTTAACAGGGCAAAGAACTCACTTGGCATCTGATTTGATGGCTTTGATAGTGGCATAAGCCTCTTCGAAGGTGAGATTGTTGGTTTTCATTAAATACGCCGTTACTAAAGCAACACTTCGACTGACTCCAGCATGGCTGAAAGACAAAGAACTCTTTAGAATAAGATCATGAACAAAACTGGGGAAAATACACTAGGGGAATTAATTCACTTCAAGCCTCACTTTCATTTTTACTGATCTGTTTTGGTGGAAATTAATCTTTTTGCTGCACTTCTGGCGGCGGAGAACGTGAGCACGGCCTGGCAGGGGAGATGAAAACGGGATCACCTGTTCCTGAGACCGAGGTCACTGGGGGCAGTGCGGGGAGTTGGAGGGGGGGAGAGGAGAGAGGGGAAGGGTCCGACCACATCTCACTTCTTCAGGGACGCTGGAAAAATTTGCACAGTGGGGGAGTTGAGAGCCATTGAACCAAACTGTAAACCCAGTATATGATGAGAACCACTTCAAGCCAGAGGGTGCAGCCCCACCCCCCCAGTTCCAACATCTCTGCACTTCTCCCCGGACAAAGGACTAAGGCGCTGCCAGCCCCGGTGCTAAGGCCCGTGCAAAGGGGCCTCGGACCAGCCCGGCAGCCACAGCTCAGCCTCCAGCCGCACAGTCCAGGGGTCCGACGCGGCCCTTCGGACATTGGGGGTCCCGGCCCCCCCCCCGGGCTCACCATCGCACCAGGGCGGCACCGCCCCCCGCCCGGGCCGCGCTGAGGAAGGCGGCGCAGGAGTCGAGGTGGCTCAGCAGGTCGGTGCCGGGCTCGTCCCGCGCCGGGATATGCAGGGTCCGGATCCCCGCCACCGGGGGCGGCTCCTCCGCGTCCACCGAGAGCAGCGCCACCACCCCCGCCGCCTGCAGGGCCCCGGCCGCCGCGCCGGCCTCCGCGCCGCCCACAAACAGGCCAGGGAGCACCGGCACCATCCGGCCTCGCTCCCCGCTGTCAACGCCTGGAGCGCGGCGCGGCGTGGCCCGGCCACCAGTCTGGCGGCTTCCGGTCTGCCCCTCCCCCCCACGGCCACCAGCAACACCGCCTCTTCCGGTCTGAGCCTCCCCACCAGTGCCACCACCAACATGGCGGCTTCCGGACGGCCCCTTCTCCCCACCATTGCCGCCACCACCAACATGGCGACTGCCGACCTGGCCCCTCCCCATCCTTGCCACCGATTCCCGCCTCCCAGGGCTTCGTTCAGCGCCGACAGCGAGACGTCCTTGGTTCTAAAGTGGAAACTGCCCCCTTGGTACCTGGGAAGCAGGGCGGGCTCCAGGGTTTTGGCCACCCCAAGCAGCCAAAACAAAAAACAAAACAAAAAAGCCGCGATCCCAGGCGGTGTGAGGGACCGTCCGCCGAATTGCCGCTGAATACCTGGACGTGCCACCCCTCTCCAGAGCGGCCATCCCAAGCACCTGCTTGAGAAGCTGGTGCCTGGAGCTGGCCCTACTGGGAAGAGCCTCTGTCCCCAGCCATCAATAGGGCAGTTTCCACCTTTTTCTCCTCTGGTTGTTGTTTGCGCACGCACCTGTGCACTGGGATGGATGTGTACACAGCATGCGCACAAACACCAAAATGCACCCCCGCAGCCAAGTTGTGCATGTTCACACTGTATGTACAAACACATATAGACAAACACCCAGGGCCGGCTTTCAGCCGATTCAGCTGAATTGGGCCCCGCGCCTAAGAGGGCCCCGCAGCTGTTCACTACCCCCCCAGCTCATTCCCCCCTCCTCCCCTTGTTCCTCCCCCTCCCCTGCTTCCTGTGAATCAGATGTTCGCGGGAAGTCTGAAAAGGGGCAGGCGGCGGCAGCAACAGGTGGGGGGGGGCGGCCCAGTCCGGCCCTGGCTGAGCGGCTCCAGCCCGGCACGGGCCCCGGGGCGCCGGCCGCGTCCCCAGCCGAGCGGTGCCGGCCGAGCACCCCCGGTCCAGCTCGGGCACCACGGCTCCGGACCCGGACAAGCACCCCCGACCCGGCTCGGGCGCTGGCCCGAGTGGCCCCGGCCCAAGCCCCTCCGGCCCTGGCGGCTCTGGCTCGGGCCCCGGCGTGCCGGCTCGGGCCCTGGGCCGAGCGACTCCGGCCTGGCCCTGGCCCCAGCGGCTCCGGCCCGGACCCAAAGCCAGTGGCAAGCCCCGCCCCCAGGAGTCGGGCCCCGCTCTTGCTAAGGCCGGCCCTGCAAACACCACAGCTGAGCTGTGTGGACACACCATACCTGAGCACACAGGCACACACACCACCTTTGAGACCTGCATATACATACACACAAATGTGTAGACTCAACACCAAAACCAAGCTGCATGAGTGCCCTGCATGGAAACATATGACATAATAGAACAATGATTCTCAACCTTTCCAGACTACTGTACCCCTACTGTACCCCTTTCAGGAGTCTGATTTGTCTTGCGTACCCCAAGTTTCACCTCACTTAAAAACTACTTGCTTACAACATCAGACATCAAAATACAAAGTGTCACAGCGCACTATTACTGAAAAATTGCTTCCTTTTTCATTTTGTCCATATGAAATTTTAGTTTGTACTGACTTCGCTAGTGCTTTTTATGTAGCCTGTTGTAAACCTAGGCAAATATCTAGATGAGTTAATGTATCCCCTGGAAGACCTCTGCGTACCCCCAGCGGTACGTGTACCCCTGGTTGAGAACCACTGACATAGAGGGATGCAATAAATTGGAACAGGCTAGGATTGGGGTGGCTGGGCAGGGACAGGGCTCTGAGAAAAAGATTTTGCAAGGTCTGGGACTACACGAAAAAGAGTCAGATTCCAGAACTGAGTCAGTCTGATCTGTATGGGGGATCATGTGGTGGTCATGCCTACACTCTACACAGGAGAAGGAGGAAGACTCTTTCCACCCTTGGAGCTGCCAATAGCTACATGTTCCATGTGGGTCCAAGAAGCAGGAGCGCTCTTGTGTCAATACTAAAGAATCCCTGAAAGTTGTTTTCTTCTAGCACTAAAATGGGTTTTTTTTTTATAATAAGGAAAACAGTATTACCCCTAACATTGCCCTGTCTCCTCTTCAATGCAGAGCATCTGCCTACCTTCCCCATCCGCTTCCTACCTGGCTTCCTGCTGTTTCAAAGCAAGAGTACACAGATCCTTACACCATGGAAATAGGGTGTTCCATCATCTGGGACTGGCTTTGGGAACAGAATGTCCTATTTTGTTTTCAGGAAGAGTTTTCCTCACCCACTGTGCTCAGAGGTCAGCAACTAAGTTCTGAGGAGGTCTTGGGAGAATAAGAGCACCCAGAGTGCTTGGTCCCCATACTTGCTTTCCAAGCATGCAAATAACAAAAATTTCAGCAGGGGGCAGGCTTGAGCTTGTCTTACTCTGAAAAGAAAATTCAGCCACTTACTGTATTACAGGTTTCAGGGTAGCAGCCGTGTTAGTCTGTATCCTCAAAAAGAACAGGAGTACTTGCATCCGAAGAAGTGGGTTGTAGCCCACGAAAGCTTATGCTCTAATAAATTTGTTAGTCTCTAAGGTGCCACAAGTACTCCTGTTCTTTTTACTGTATTACAATCTAATAACTGGGTTGGTTAGACCTGAATCAAGCCAAAATAGATCTGCATTAGCAACAAATCAAATGAACCAAGAAAAGACTCCTGTTTTTTTTTTTTTATATATCTCTGCGGGACACCTTTGAAGTTTTCTCACAAATTATCCCTAATTCTTAGCAAAGGCATCTCAGCTAAAACCTTTCTGGGAACCCAGAACTGGTGCTGACAAAATGCATTGTACCTCACCTTTAAAGTAAGTTAACAAGTAAAGTTGTTGGAAGTTCCCAACGCAGCTATCTTTACAAGAAACAGACAACATATTCACTGTTGTATGCAGTGTTGTAGCCGTGTTGATCCCAGGATATTAGAGAAACAAGGTGGGTAAGGTAATATCTTTTATTGGACCCACTTCTGTCTCTCTCAGCAACAGAAGTTGGTCCAATAAAAGATACTACCTCACCCAGCTTGTCTCTCTAACATATTTACTGTCATATTTCACAGTCAGCTGGTCCTGGCTCAGAGTTTTCCCTCCTTATTGCAGGTCACTTTAGCTAGGTATGACGATCAATGCCTTGATATGCTGCTGCTTCCCTTTCAGAACCCACCTTAAGGGGCTCTGGGATTTTGTGAAAATTTCTTCCCCGCTTGTATCCAGGCTACCAAAGCAGATCATATGAACATAAGAATGGCCATACTGTCCATCTATCCCAATATCCTGTCTTCTGACAGTGGCCAATGCCAGATGCCCCAGGGAATGAACAGAACAGCTAATCATCAAGTGATCCATCCCCTGTCACACATTCCCAGCTTCTGGAAACAGAGGCTAGGGACGCCTATCCTGGCTAACAGCCATTGATGGACCTATCTTCCAGGAACTTATCTGATTCGTTTTTTAACTCTGTTATAGTCTTGGCCTTCACAACATCCTCTGGCAAGGAATTCCACAGGTTGACTGTGTGTTGTGTGAAAAAATACATCCTTTTGTTTGTTTTAAACCTGCAGCCTATTAATTTCATTTAGTGACCCCTAGTTCTTGTGTTATGAGGAGTAAATAACACTTCCTTATTTACTTTCTCCACACCAGTCATGATTTTATAGACCTCTATCACATCCCCCCTTAGTCATCTCTTTTTCAAGGTGAAAAGTCTCAGTCTTATTAATTGGTCCTCATATGAAAGCCGTTCCATATCCCTAATCATTTTTGTTGCTCTTTTCTGAACCTTTTCCAAGTCCAATATATCTTTTTTCAGATGGGGCAACCACATCTGTACACAGTATTCAAGATATGGGCGTACCATGGATTTATATAGAGGTAATGTGATATTTTGTGTCATATTATCTATCCCTTTCTTAATGATTCCCAACATTCTGTTCGCTTTTTTGACTGCCGCTGCACATTGAGTGGATGTTTTCAGAGAACTATCCACAATGACTCTAAGATCTCTTTCTTTAGTGGTAACAGCTAATTTAGACCCCATCACTTTATAAGTATAGTTGGGATTATGTTTTCCAATGTGCATTACTTTGTATTTATCAACATTGAATGTCATCAGCCATTTTGTTGCCCAGTCACCCAGTTTTGAGAGATTCTTTTGTAGCTCTTCGCAGTCTGCTTGGGACTTAACTATCTTGCATACTTTTGTATCATCTCCAAATTTTGCCACCTCACTGTTTATCCCTTTTCCAGATCATTTATGAATATGTTGAACAGGACTGGTCCCAGTACAGACCCCTGGGGGACACCACTGTTTATCTCTCTCAATTCTGAAAGCTGTCCATTTACTCCTACCACTTGTTTCCTATCTTTTAATTAGTTACCAATCCATGAGAGGATCTTCCCTCTTATGCCATGACAGCTTACTTTGCTTAAAAGCCTTTCATGAGGGACCTTGTCAAAGACTTTCTGAAAATCTAAATACACTATATCCACTGGATCCCCCTTGCCCAAATGCTTGTTGACCCCCTCAAAGAATTCTAATTGATTGCTGAGGCATGATTTCCCTTTACAAAAAACATGTTGACTTTTCTCCAACAAATTATGTTCATCTATGTGTCTGACAATTTTGTTCTTTACTATAGTTTCAACCAGGTTGCCTGGTACTGAAGTCAGGCTTACCGGCCTGTAATTGCTGGGATCACTTCTGAAGCCCTTTTTAAAAATTGGTGTCACATTAGCTATACTCCAGTCATTTGATACAGAAGCTGATTTAAATGATAGGCTACAAACTACAGTTAATAGTTCTGCAATTTCACATTTGAGTTCCATCAGAACTCTTGGGTGAATACTGTCTGGTCCTGGTGACTTATTATTGTTTAGTTTATCAATTTGTTCCAAAACCTCCTCTAATGACACCTCAATCTGCGACAGTTCCTCAGATTTGCCACCTAAAAAGAATGGCTCAGTCTCTCTCACATCCTCAGCTGTGAAGACCAATGCAAATAATTCATTTAGTTTCTCTGCAATGGCCTTATCGTCTTTGAGTGCTCCATTAGCATCTCGATCGTACA